AATCCATTTTTCTGAAGCTCAGAACCTTCTCTTAAAATTACATGTAACTGATACTTTTTATCAAATTATTTTGTATTTACTCCTGATTTTATAAAATATTACATGCTAAAATCTCTACTGGATAAATGCAATGCCTTCTCTTTTTATATTAACAACCAAAACAATGTTTATCTATTGTACATATGTATCCTTGCCTTTCCATATGACCTTTATAGTTTATCTGGGGAAGGGGGAGGGGATACAGTGGCAATAATGCTATGAAATATAAATTTGTCAAACTATTGAGTTGTTTTTCCACAATTATTCAACTTAAAAAACAGTTGCATTAACTATATATTCATTTGAAAAGCAATTTGGCACTGAGAATCATAAAAATTACACAATATAACATCTTCTAGGGGTAAATTCTCTTAACATGAAAGGTTTAGCTAGCACAAATGTAACTAATTAATAACATCTGAAGTACATTCTCCCATAGGACTGATGACCATCTGGTTGACCTTGCGCTAGATCAATAGAGATGGCAAATCTGTAAATCGTTTCTTAAATGTTATCAGTCCATCATTCCACCACAAGCAGAAGGGCTGGAACTTGGATGGGAGAAAGAATCTCTTGTTTCTTACACCTTTAAATCAACTATGATTCATCATTTGACTATAAGCAAGACAAGACTGAGAGGATTCTCCTAAAATTCTCTCCAGACAGAGACAGGCAGAGGGTCAAGTTACAGTGAAGATTTTGACAGGAGAGCCAGGAAGCAATGGAATTATGAGAAACTAGAATGATGCAAAACACCTCTGCCGGATGTGACTCGAAATTACTTAAATTTCCTCAAACGCATCTTCCAAGTCCTGATTTTTGGTTGCAAAGTAGAAATTTGGAAATATGAAATAAAGTATATATCTACATGTATTTAAATTAACATATGCTCATATAGAAGGTGGAGCAAAAGTAGATTTATAGTTGTTCATATAGAAAATAATACAATAATTGATAAATAATAATTCAAGAAAAAACTCTGGTTTATTCACAACTATAAACAGACTTTTGCCCCACCCTATGTATGTCAACCCTGCACAAATTTCTATATTTTGATGTCAAGACTAAACTATTTTGGAAGAAACTTTGTAACCTAATCAGATAAGCCATCACAAAATCAATGACACACTTTAATAAGAAATTTGGAACAGGCATCTCAAGCAGGTATACTATCAAATCTTTTAAGAAAATGCCTAAAAATTTATTATTAAAATTTAAACATTTTAACTTTTTTTTTTCTTGCCTAAGCTACTTTTCCTAGGATATTTTGCCTAATATATAGTCTAACTTAGGAGGTCTTGTACTTAATGTAGAAGTTATGGAATTTCCTTGATATATCACTTTAAAATAGTCTCTAAATTGTGATATTTTACCTCTATGCTTATTTCCTATTAAGACTATTGGAGAGTATTATGCTATGTGAAATAAGCCAGTCAGAGAAAAATAAGTATCACATGTTCTCACTTGTATGTGGAATCAAATGAACAAAACAAACTGATGAAGAAAAAAAAAAAAAAAGATCCAGGCATTGAAGCATGCATCAGATTGAAATATTTCAAAGGGAAGAGGAAAGAAGTATATGAAAAGATTGACCAATGAATTATCTATGCATAGTCCATGGACAGATAATATAATGCAGTAGGCCTGGGGAGGGGACCAGTGAAGGGTGGAGTGTGTCTATGGGGGGAATAAGGGAACATCTGTAATACTTCCAACAATAAAGATAATTTTTATTCCTAACTAAGGAGTACAGATATTTTTTCCATTGATTTTTAAAGAGAGTGGAAGGGAGGGGGGAGTGGGAGAGACAGTGGGAGGAGAGAGAGAAAGAGAAAGATCAACCTGAGAGAGACACATTGACTGGTTGCCTCCTGCTCACTCCCCTGAACTGGCCACGGATTGAATCTGCAACTGAGGTATGTGCCCTTGACTGGAAATGGAATCCCTGACTATTCCTTCTGTGGGCCAACATTCTGACCACTGAGCCAAACCAGCCAGGGCAATAAAGATAATTTTTTAAAGGTTCTTGGAAAGAATAAAATATCAGGAATTGTAAAACTTTCAGATAGATAGCTTATTGTATTCTACATCTACACTAATAAAAGAGAAATATGCAAACTGACTATCGCTTCTCGATGCCCACCAGCCAATCAGGAGTATGCAAATTAAACAATGAAGATGGCAGCAGCCCTGTCCCCCAGCTGCTCTGAATCTCTGGGCAGCACACATGCAGGGGTGGAGCGGCCAGGCGGGGCAGGATGCCTGCTATGAGGGGGAGGGCAGGGGACAGAAGGAGCTACAGGAGTGGTGCTTTGGCCCAAGCGAAGATGCAAGGCTCCAATACAAGGTAGCAGCCAGAGTGAAGGCCTGGGTCTTGGGTGCCGGAAAAAAACCAGTGCCAGCAGCCAGGGAAAGGAAAGTCTATTCCATGAATCTTCCTGCAACAGGCCTCTAGTATATATATAAAAGCCTAAGCAACTGAACAACTGAATGACCAGTTGCTGTGATGTGCACTGATCACCAGGGGGCAGACACTCAACACAGGAGCTGCCCCCTGGTGGTCAGTGCACTCCCACAGCAGGAGTGCTGCTCAGCTGACAGACCTGCCCCAGTGGACCACTCCCTCCCTTAGTAGTCCTACAGGTCCAATCTCCGGAGAACAGGCCAGGTACCAACAGACCCGGTGCTGCCCACAGGATCCTAACAGTGCTGTTGACCTCCTGGAAGTTGGCCTCAAGCACCAGGGCCGCTTCCCCTCCCTAGATGCTCCTCAAAGAAGAAATAATATAAAAGTAGCTCCCAACAACCAGTGAGAACATCAGTGGGATGGATCTGGACCCCAGACTGGCAAGGGCATCCCACTGCCTACCCAGAGGGCCAATCGCATTCCAGCTTCCCTCATACCCCATTGGTACAGACACACATGGCTGGCGAGTGCCGCTGTGATGGCACAAGCCTCTCCTGATCAGGACTGACGGGCCACAAGTCTGCAGCAGGTGCATCAGTACCAGGATGAGCAGGAGCAACAGGCAGGTGTGGCAGGCACTGCTGGACTGCCAGTTTCAGCTTAATCCTCGCAGGTCATGCCGAGGGACACCACCCATACATGAATTCATGCACCGGGCCTCTAACATGTTATAAATGAAGGTAAGTCTTATTTGCAAGAATCTTATTTGGGAGCACTTAAAATATTAAAGATGCAATATTTTTTAAAGCCCATCATAACTTCTAGTCACTGTATACAGAGTATATATAGTAATGAAGTTTGGTTTTAAAAGATTGCATTCCTAAACTTCATTGAAAAACAAGTTTTAATTGTCTCTTCGAATATAGACTTGATGAAATATCTCTGGTGACACACTTATCTTTAATATTTACCTATTTTGGGTTAAGCTGCCGTTAAACAAAGTTTGATTAATTTTGATGAAATAAAGAGAATGGGTTTAAAGGCCTAATCTGTGGGACCACTCCATCTTCCTATATACTGAGAGAAATATAGGAAATAGGGAGAAATTGTACTGCTCCCTAATGCCTGCCTGTCTTTCTTTCTTTCTTTCTTTCTTTCTTTCTTTCTTTCTTTCTTTCTTTCTTTCTTTCTTTCTTTCTTTCTTTCTTTCTTTCTTTCTTTTTCTCTTTCTCTTTCTCTTTCTCTTTCTCTTTCTCTTTCTCTTTCTCTTTCTCTTTCTCTTTTTCTTTTTCTTTTTCTTTTTCTTTCATACTAGGTAACTCTCAACTTAGGAGAAAAGTTGCAAACTGACTATGAGGCTTTTAGTTAGTTTTGTTTTTGTGTTTAAAGGACACGTCAAAGGATCTGTTTTCCTTCCTTCACAACTTAACTGGTAGTCATGGGTTTTAAGGGGAATACCTGGCTTAGAAGCTAAGGAAGCAATTAGAAGCTAAGTTCATAAGGTTCCTATAGGACTTATAATAACCTTGGAGAAAGCTTTTGGGAAGGGAGAGAAGGGGAGGGGAAAGGAGGAGAGGGAGGGGAAGGATGTGATAAAGTAGGGAGCCATTTGACATAAGTATCAGTCATACTGCTACTTGAAATTCAAGATAACAGTGTTTCACAGACATCCTGCTATAGGAAGGTCTTAGAGTATATTGTTTCTCAAATGAAAATGAAAATATGCCCAATGAAACTGAGGTTTTCGCAGAGATAGAGCTGAAAGAAGCCATAAAAATATAAATAACCCTGAGTGGCAGGGTGATATTCCTGATCCATTTCTTATCCCATCTGTCCAATGACTATGGGCTATGTGACTGACTGAATCATCCACCTGTAAGTCCTTTGAACAATATACATTAAAGCTCGCGCGTACATTCGGCAAACCATTCCTCAGAGGGCTTACAACTTTTATGTGTGTGAAAATTTGAAGTCACACTCATTTCCCTAAGCTCCTGAAGATAACATCTGTACACAACAGCAATCAAAAGCCTATTTTGAACTATTCCTTTAGTTCCTTTACAATTAGGTACTTTGCCAACCTCAGGAAGTCCTTGTGGAAATAGAAGAAACATTATTATATAGAAAGACCAGTTTCAAGACTAGTGCTCCAAATTTTTTAGGAGAATTTTCAGTAATTTAACCTTCATAGTTCTTTCTGCTAATGGAGATTAGTACATATGAAGTGTTTCTCAACCAAACCAGGTGAATATTAAATATTAGATACTGTAGGCTTTAAGTTCTTCACCATCTCCCCCAGGCACGCACATGCAAACACAGAAGAAATTTAAAAGAGGGCAGAATTCACTTCAAGCATTTTCAGAAACAAATGCAATAGAGGGTCTGTCCATTCACCAATAATCTTAAATAGCCCTGTCATCCAAAAACCAGTCCCATAAATATTTTTAAAATCAATATTCAATAATACTTTACTACCTTTAGTGTTTTTTTTTAATCTGAATAAGAAAACAAATGATAAATAACATTTCCCCAGAGAACTTATCAACTTGCTTACCATCAAATGTTAAATAAACTCTTGCTTGGGGCTGAGAAGATCCTTTTACACAGACGGAACAGACAAATACTCCAACCAACATGCAAATTGCCTGGAATGCCATTTCTTCAGATTTTCAAGTTAACATCCAAGAGAAATACCTTCAAAAAAGAGAGAGAGAAGTTTCTTACATTTCATTTCACATTTTAGGAGCACACCCACTGCCACACAAACATAACCAGCAACCTAGACAGAGCACCTTATTCACAAAAGACATTCATTCCTGAACTTTCATGGCCATGCAAACAGTAGGAGGTGCTGTGACTTTGCTTCTTAGAGGTGAAAATTTGGATTCAATTCCCTTGGTCTGGCAGTATTTGCGAAAGGAAAACTCTCATCTTCCAAAACGTGAACAAAGCAGCCAGGAAAAAGTGATTCCCAAAGGAAAACCAATATTTAAATGTGCTCTCCTCTCTAAAAAAAATCACATTATGATTAAATGACTTGAGAATGGTATCCATAGGTATTAATGAATGAAAACATCCTTTCCTACCATAGAGTAATAGTGAAAAATAAAAATAAAATAAAAAATATTTCCACATGAACATTCCATACTCATTAGCTCTTGTACCTGAAATGGTGTTTCTATGCATAGACTGACATGTGCTCAATCCTTGACCACTGAAACCATTTGAATCAGTTATCGGCCACTTCATACAGATGACCACACAGCTGTGAAGTGATGCAGATGAGGTAACCTTGGACTGGTGCCAAATTCAAACCAATGACCTAGTGGTGAGCAATCTAGTGAGCCATCTATCCCTCCATGCATAGTTCATATAAATCAACCAGAAAGTGGCTGTCAAAATTCCAATAGATAAATCAGAGAGACAAGTGCTATCTGGAGCTGTAGCTATAAAATTGATACATCTTATTAAGTCATGTCTGAATACCAAGGAAGACCAGGTAACGCGTTAACCACAGATCTATAAACACTCCAATAATCACAGCATGTGAAATAATCTCAGGACCATAAAAAATAAAAAATCCCATTATTTGGAGTCTAGCATAATTACATACTGAAATGACAAGACAGTTTAATCAAGGAATTAATTTTTATAGATCACAACAATTCTGACCTTCAGTACCATGTGGCTCTTAAAATTAAAATCGCATCACTTATTTTACTCCATAACATGCCATTACAAGTTGTAAACACTGCTTCATGAATGCAGAAGAAAAAAAAAAAAAAAAAAACAATTATACCGAACATGCCATTCTTAAACGAAAATTACAAGTTGATTTCCGAGGTGGCCCATAAGCTATGGGAGTTAGGAACAAAACCTGTGCGCCTCTTGTACCACACAGATGACAGGTGGAGGGAAGCCTTGCCATGTTTGTGTTGGTAATTTTCAAAAGAAATAGTTTCTTCCTGCTTCCACAACCTCTTCACCCTGTCACCCCTAAATTAACCTAGAAGGAAATTGATTTTATGGAGTGACTTTCCCTTAGTCATTTGTTCCATGTAAAAAAAAAAAAAAAAAAAAAAGCCACAATCTGCCTAACCTTTGTCTCTGTATGAAGAAGGCTGATGGTATTTACATATTTTTACACATGGCTATCATCAGGATTTTACCTGGCATGTTTCTCCCCGCACCCCTCCCCACAAAGAGACACTTGCCCCAAATTGCTAAAATAAAATAAAACAAACCTTGGAGATGACATGACAGGTCCTAGGAAGCAAGGATACAGTGCAATGTGGCTGCAAGCCTACCCTGGAGGAAAGCGACTCCAAAAGCAAGTGTCTCTTCCACATGCCTCACCCCCCGCCCTCCCGCCCCCCCCCCCCCCCCCATCTTACAACTTCTTCCCTTTAAAGCAGACACTTGGGCAAGATGCCTATTTTCACTTCTGATCGGAACCCTCACAGCGTGTGCGAACAGGACCCCTCCAGGTCCCCTCCTGCACCGAGTGCCTGAGAAGTCAGTCCCTGAAACCTGCAGCTCCGGCTCCCGCAGGTGCCGCCGCCCGGAGCCACCGCTGCCGCCGGGCGCTCCGCGGGAGCAGCGGCGCCCGGACACGCCGCGTCCGCTCGTAAGCAGATGTGCAGACCCGAGCCCGGCGAGGTGCGAAAAGTCCATGCACACAGACCCTAAAAGTAACGCTGAGCTTAAAAAAGCAGCTTACCGAGGGGAGAAGACAGCAGCAGGAAAAAAACAAAAAACAAACAACAAACAAACAAACAAACAAAAAAATCAATGCGCTACCGGCGTGGCCCCGCGCGTGTGCGTCTCCAGCCCTGGTCCCCGGAGCCCCGGGGGTCTGAGCGGGCCCAGCGGGGAGCTCCGTCCTTCCCGGTCCGGGCGGAGTTTCTCTGCACAGGAATCCCCGGCGCTGCGGGGCGGGGCGGGGCGGTGCAGCCGCAGCCGGGCTCCGCGGCGCTCGGTCCAGCGCCCGGGAGTGAATGAGAGCGGCCGGCGCCGGGGGCTAGCGCTCGGTGTCCGGTTACAGCGGCTCCCGCTGCCGGCGGCCCAGCCACTGCGCTCAGCCCCGCGCCCGCCGCAGCCCCCGCCGCCCCGCCCAGGGCGCGCCGGGCGGGGGCCGGAGCCGGCGGGCGGGGCGGGCGGGGCGGGCGGGGCGGCCCCGAGCGCGGCCCGGGAGCTGGAATGCGCGGCCGGCGGGCTAGGGGAGCGGCGTGACCACTCCGCTCTGGCGCTGTCCTCGGTGGAACTTACTGGGGGTGCCCCGAGGGTTTTGTTTTTGCCAGCAACTCCTGGAAGGCGCACCCGCGTGGCTGGGCCGTACACATCAAAGTGCAAATCAGTCTTTTTCTTTTCTTTCCCTCTTTTTCTTTCTTTTTTCTTTCCCCCAGCAGAGAAGGATCCCTGCATCCTTTTAAGGCAAAGAGATGCGTCTTTAAAAGAGCATTCCTGTCTTGTCCTTTTCGTGCAGCCAATGTTCTAAAATCATTCCCACAATTTCACCCCAGACATGTGTCCTTTCTAAGGAGTGTTGTTTTCTGTTTCGTTTACTTAATGGAAAGCAGTGAGTCTGTAACGTCTCTCTCCACACACACACACACACACACACACACACACACACACACACACACACACACACTGGCTTCTTTCCAGTATCTTCTCCTCCAGGATATTCCCAAAAACATAAACTGCAAGAAATGACTTAACAATTTTGTGGAGCAAGGCTGTTCTGAATTATGCCAACGGATAGATGTTTACAAATCTAGGCATTATGGGGTATGTTTCCAGCTCTACCATCGATAAACTTGTTAAACTCTAGAACTCATTTTGATGTGTAAATGAAAATTACTTATCCGGACCACAAAAATCTAAGACACTAGAAGCTCATCAAGAGAAATGAGCTTTTTTTTTTTTTTTTTTTTTTTTTTGCCTCAATAAAATGAGCAGGTACTTGCATAAAACATCACTATGGGCTACAGCCCAGCAGATGTCACTACACAAAGGGACTGTGGAGGGTACTGTCTTCACCTCTTTCCTTATAGTTTTCTTTAGGAGGCAAAGCAGAAACTTAATTCTTATGAACTGTCTCATAGGAAATAGTTCTGTGAGTGCGAAATCTTCGCTGGAATGGGACAGTTGACTTGAACCTCAGCAGGAGGAAGTGAAGAAGTGATTAAGACACATCTTTCATGTGGGGAAACACTGCCTGTTTTGTCCAAGCTACATAAAACTGTCTCTAATTCTCTCTGTATAGCTAAGATGTGAATGGATCACATCAAATAAGGGTCAATTTAAGAGTTCAAACACTATGTTCCGGGCCCAATATGATCTTAAAACATCTGAGTTTATGAAAGCAACTTCTCATCTAATAGATGTATTATTTTTAAAATTTTAATAGAGTTAGTATTTTGTGATGATTAGTGCAATAAAAATATGAGCAGTTCCTTGACAGTTGGGTATAGTGAATTTATCCCACCAGACATCTGACTCTTTTTAAAACAAGATGCAGCCGAAACCGGTTTTGCTCAGTGGTTAGAGCTTTGGACTATAGGGTCCCAGGTTTGATTCCGGTCCAGGGCATGTACCTTGGTTGCTGGCACATCCGCAGTAGGGTGTGTGCAGGAGGCAGCTGATCAATGTTTTTCATTGATGTTTCTTACTCTTTATCCCTCTCCCTTCCTCTCTGTAAAAAAAAAAAAAAAAAAAAAAAAAAAAAAAAAAAAAAAAAATCAATAAAATATATTTAAAAAAAACAACAACACACAAACAAGATGCAATCAAGTAAATACTATGTATTTTCTCTGAAGCATTTCTAAAACTGGTTAAGTCCCAAGTTATATCCTGACCACTATTATCTTCCTACTGGTGTCTGAGTCAGCATTAGCTTAAAGGAGAAGAAATCATTAGGAAGAAGATTGCTGTGAGCATTAACAAATTATATAATTACTAGAGGCCCGACATCCCCTGAGGGATGTAGTAGTGAGTGGGCCAAGCCACAGGCAGCCAGGGAGGAGCTGAGCCTAGGCTGGGCGCAGCTACACCCTCCAGCTGTGAGCCCAGTGTCTGGCACCCATCAGTCAGCTGAGCAATCCTCCAGCTGTGGGAGCACACCGACCACCAGGGGGCAGCTCCTGCATTGAGTGTTTGCCCACTGGTGGTCAGTGCACATCATAGCAACTGGTCAACCCTGCTTTTGGTTGTTCAGTTGCTTAGGCTTCTATATATAGATTAACTTAGAAATTTGGAAGCATTAAATACTGATTAATTTGTAAATCCATGTAAGGTAGAACACTAGTTTATTATACATTTTATTTTTAAGTTTCAAAGATAAGGAAATGTAACGTGGCATGCATGTCAAATTGTGTATTTACAAGGGAATTTACTCCATTTACAAAAGCCCAAAGAATTAGCTACATCTCTCACGAGGCTTTTGAGACTATGACAAATGGTTTAATTTAATCACAGTCTATGAAACTTGTGATGCAGTTCCAGTCTTGCCAGAATAAACTTCTTTCCAATGGATTGAGTTGAATGGGTATTTGCTAGTCCTGAGACATTTACCCTAGGCCATCCCTCAAAATGAGTCATATAAATATTGCTAGGCACTAGCCAAGGTGGATTCAGGCATAAGGACACAATTATT